TCCACCGGTCAGGCTGGAATATACATATCAGGATAGCCAGTAGAGACATTTGGTCCCGTTTATCTAGCGAATGGGTTTGCTAAAAAGCTAAAAACCCAAATGAGTCTCCACAGCGGCGACAGCCGAACTTCATCTAACGAAGAGGTGTTTCTGCCCGAGTTCGAGGATCAAACACATCAAGCTGCATCAGGCGTACACTCACTCGTTGTCGGGACGGCATCCCGAATATCTTACATCACCGTCCGGGAAGCATTAAAATCTTTTATTGTATTTTTGAGTCGCGATTCAATTGGAAGATGCTGATAGGCTGAGAGTTTTCGTTCTACTCCATTCTCCTGATAATTTTCAAAAGAATTTGGGCAGTCTTCGGAACTCCTCTGGAAGATTTAGGCAGCTGCTCCCGAATATTTCGCCCCAGTCTCGCGCTCATATCGCGACCTGTCACATTATAATTCCCGAAAATACTCACCTTTATCATCCAGAATCAGACTGATGGCCCCGAAGTATTGGCTGGGTCTCTCCCGCAGGATTACGCATGTTTCATCTCAAGGGCGGCCGCCAATGCGGTTAAACGCCAGAAGAATATGACGCTCCTCCTCTTGATTAACCTTGCACCACAGAGAAGTTCCGCATACACGCATGGTGATCTGCAACTGATCTTGAAAGTGATCAAGGCTAATTGTAAACTCTATCGTGCCTATCGGCGGATGAAGGCGAAGTTTGGTGATGAGGGATTGGAGGGATAAACGGACAATTTTGTTATCCTGCAAACATCCCCACAACATATTGGCTGACCCCTTCAGGAGTCAAGCTGCCAACATCGGAGAATACCAGCGTAATCAGGTCCGGCCTTGTATTCATCCATCAGAACGTGTCATGGCATCATTAATTCTCCCACCTAGTATAGTCCACTCCAGGGTTGCATGCAATTTGTTCTGGCGTCATTTGTCGTATACAACCGGCATTAGTGGACTTTTCATGTAAGGATTTGATCCCGCCCGCGGTCGGCGGGGACGTAACATTGCCTCCCGAAGACAACGGGAAAGACAGAATATTGGATGTGTGCGTTGGCAGGTCATACTGCGATAGCGGGAATAGACGATGAAATTTGTAACTGTTTTTCAGGATCCATATGAGCTCCGGAGCAGTGCATTGTGATACTGAAATTACCTCTCAGCGAGGGCATAAAAAGGGATATTCGCGGCTTGTGCGATGATTGCGATCTGGTTACTGCCAACGGCATTGATCAGGCCGCCACTTTCTACGACAGCTTCTGATCCCACTAGAACGAAGTCTACCTTGTCCATGACATATGATACCGCCGAATCCAGTACCACCGTGCAGGGTATACCGGCGGCTGTAAGTTCTTCGTAGGTTCGTAGGCTTTCAATAAGAACATCAGTCTTCTTTGGAGATACCAAAGTTACAGAGTACAAGTGCGAACCCTAAGCCGCGAGGCCGTGCTTCTGTCACGTAGACCGATATTCTCTTTCTCTCGTGGGCACGGAGCAGGGTCTTCATCACGACTCTCGAATAGGAATGAGTCAGGATCTTCCCGTTGACATGAGGGATCATACAACGAGGAAGCACGTGGAAAACATACCACTGAGTCATCTTTGATGAATCCCAGCGCAAGGCTGGCAATTTTATCACGATAAGTGAGGGCCTCAGCAGCATATTTTTGGCCTTGTCTAACAAGCTCTAGTTTCAAATCAGAGAAGCTCTTTTGTACTTGTCAGTTTGAGAAGGAAGATAGGCGGGCTGTACTGACTGCGGAGTCATGCGGGAGCAATGTGACAAACGCGATAAATAATTCGCACCCAGCGTTCAAACTGATCGGATTGGAAGTCGAGGCCTTCAAAGCTCCTGCACCTTCGTTTAGAGCTTTCACTAGCTCAAGCATTGTCCCAGCTAGTATCTTCTGGGTCAAAGTGACACTGTAGGAAGGAACATGGCGGAATACCATCGGATGTCTCGATCAACTTGCTCAAGGCTAGAATTGCAGCCAGTGGAGGCGATAGCTGGTTTTGTTATAAGCATTACAAAAAAAAAGATAATATAAGAAGAAAGTTGCACCTCTTCATTCTTCAGGAATGAAACGTAAGTTTCGCAGATATCGAAAGAAACCACAGGGAATGCAGAGGCTGATGTATTTGCATCCGTAGTTGCAAGATCCGGCATGACAAAGGGAGTAATTTGAAGGTACTGGGAGAGGTATGTTCCTTCAACTTGTTCGTTCCTTACAGAGATGATGATAGCATGACTCCCAGATCACGTGAGACCAGGAACATAACTTAGCGTATGGGCGCTTGCGACTATAATGTCGGTGAAACTAACTTGGTGCTTGTACGAGAAATTACTGTAGATGTTGAGCACTGAAAGCTACTGCGCAGACTAACTCCAAGAGGTTTTATTTAAAAGATAGATACAACAAGCTTGAGTAGTTGACATCCATGCAATGCGTTATTATCACCCTGTCACAAGTTGAAGGGAACACATATGGTCGTAACTAGTCGGAACTGTGACAGGTGGGATATCTGACCCTGCCGTGAACAGCCTCCTGGTGTTTGACAATGTGACACCAGAATTACTTGGCTCCCGCGCTTGCGAAACCATTTAGCCAGACTAGTGCGGGAATGCTGGACATCACATTTAGTCCTCTTTGTCACTAGCTTTGGGTAGTCTTTGTCCTTCTAGCTTTGTGTCCGTTGCTATGCAAGTAGCTGTCATTTCAAGTCTATCCATGACCTGTAATACATGGTTAACGTTCTGCTCACATCACGTCGGGGAAAGTGTTTTAGAAGAGGATCAACGCATTCTCGTAAACCAATATATCAGTGCAATATCGGCGTGCAATAAAGGTGGAAACTACTATCGAAGGTAATTTTGGTGCTGACCCTGTGATAAATTTCATACTGAATTATTCAATTTAGGAATGAATTATAGATGAATTAAAATAATTAAGGCTGAATTTGGAGATAAAAAGGAGTTAGCTGGAGACGAAAAAACGTGTTTCGTTCTCTGGACATGTCGGGTCGCAATCGCTACGAAAGGCCAATTATAGTGGCGGGACCCACGCCCGCCAGCGCACCCTTCAAAAAGCCGGTAACGCCATGCGTTTATAGTACCCTTGTGCCCTCAAAAGCCAGGTTCACTATCTTTCTCCTCGAGGTCACATATCTTGCCCTGCATCTGCCTTACTTTCTCTTTATCAATACATATCCTTGCTCCTGGTAAAGGGCAGGCCTCTCTTTGTCCCGAACAATTTGACTTGTCTTACAATGGACAAGTACGTTTCTTTTACCTATAAATTTATTCAAGAGGCTCACGGAACTCAATCAACCCAGTAACACTACCCCCAACATGCAGACACCACCATCATCGACTGCTCAAGTTCACTTTTCCAGCGATGTCCGCAACATGGATAACTGGGCTCGCCGTACAGGCATCCCGTTGACCACAGCGGAGGCTTTAGGCACTACTTATGCTCGTGCTCATAAATGGTTGACGTCGTTAAAAGCCCAGCTAATTCAGCACCACGGGTGGCAGGACGCCGAAGCTGCCGTCGATACTCGTATGCTCTTCACCGTAGAAGCGCCTTCCCCATGGCGCTCCCCCAATGGGCTCCCTTTGAGCCCCAAGTTACGGCTTCAACTCCCCACACACGCATCCTCTTTCTTTTCTCCAGAGCGACGCGTTCAGTGGCAAATGGTGTTCCATAGTGACATCTTTGCCACTCAGCGACTTATCGTCCAACCCATCACCGACATCCTGAATCTTATTCAATGCCTACTCACCGGCGTTGTGACCCTTGTGTACGAGGAGCAACTACCTCAGGGCACCTATACCACCACCCGGGGCCTCCCGTCGGTGCAGTGGATAACCAATAACCAGGCCGCCCTCCTTGAAATCTTTGGGCATGCCCATTTCAAGCAGCTCTGGAAGGCTGCCAACGACAGAACGACGTCGTTCAAAGTTGACTTTGAACCTCGGCGCCGTTGATCGTGGAGTGGCACAAAAGCCCTTACCCTGGGGGCCAAGGCTCACGTGCAGCAAGCGCCTTTATGCATTCTTTCGAGCGCTATCTCCATCCTTTCATTTCCCCACTTGTGATCCGCTTTGCTACCTGATTTGTGCTTGTGCCCTTCGCCGCATTGTTGTGATATAATGCTCTCTTTACGCGTCTTCGGCATAATTTTTATATCTCCACATAGACCACCTCGTATATTGTTAATTCGCTTTATTCTGAATCATCTTATACACACCTATCATCGATCACATTTAATACCCGCCATCATATCGTTACAATCGAATACTTAGCATCACCACTGCCCGCCTAATGTTACAATGCGAATGCTCACCTCGATCATCTTTCGCGCCCATACTGACAAAGGCTTGTCAAATAAGACCCAGTGTGGTGCTCCCCTTGACCCAGCCAAGGTGATATTGTCAGCAAGGGACAGGAATGACTCAGGTTACTAGTATAGAACAGGCTATGCATGTTGTACTTGTACGCCAGCCTTCTGTTTCGTGGGGGTCACCGATCTGATGGCGTCGGACGGTCCTGCGCCAATTATGCCAAGTGTTAGTGTCAGGTCATTCCGATCTTGAGAAAGAGCGTTAGCGAATAGACGGACATCATCATCAGGCTCTACGTGATAGGGGAGCCCTTGGAAGGTTTAGCGCCTTCAAAAAACACGTTGAAGGGTCGCACCAACGGCAAGATCAGAGGCACGTTGGGAACGTGAGGCAGACGGAGCTTTGGACAGTCATGTCCTTGTGATATGCTTGAATTAGCATATCACGGCATAATTGTATAACATATGTGGGATGACAGAACTTAGCGTCACCGATGAAAAAAAAATGTATGAACGTCATCAAACCCGCGTCGCGTCGGAAAAATCCGCGTCACGTGTATCTCAAGTTACTTCCTGTGGTCGCTCGGTCATCACTACAAAATTTTATCTCATTGTATCTACCGTTCTACCTGACAAGGGAAGATGAGTTCAGCCACGGTACTCTGTCAGAGCTCCAATTGTCCACATGGAAACCCGCCATCACGGCTCGAATGCCCCACGTGCAATAAGTATGTCACACACCATGTTGCATCCTGCTGTCAGCGCTGAACTTCGTCGAGGCTGGGTATTCGTGGTTCTTTTTTCTGCGGACAGGAGTGCTTCAAAGGCAACTGTGAGTCGATCACGATATCAATCTGTGTGGAAGCATTGAAACGCCACACTTTTGACAGGGGTAAGTACGATGTAAACCCAGGCACCGCTCGCACCTCATGTACTTTTAATTCCCTCCACATCTACCAGAAAACCCACAAAATCATCCACGATCTTGTACGTTCCCCGGCTACTGCAGCTAATCCATCACAAGGTCCGTCGATAGAGATATTCGCCAGTCGCGAGTCAGCTGATGTGATACAGACGGCACTTACCATCCTTTCGCAAACTTCGATTTCACGGGTACTCTAAGACCCGTATACCCCCTCTCTCCAAAGCGTGAAGTTCCGGAACATATTCCACGTCCTGACTACGCAACACACGAAGATGGTAGGATCTTGCGCCTTCTCAGCAACGTAGCATGCAATTTGAACATGACAATAACCAATTTCCACTCCCACCTACAGGAGTACCGACCACAGAGTTAAAGCGAGCGGGCCAACCCCCACGTTTATTGAACTCGGAGGAAATTGAGAAGATGAAGTTTGCGTGCAGGGTAAGGCTTCGGTTATGATGAACCTGACATCATACTCATTTTTCTCAAGCTTGGCCGAGAAGTGCTGGATATTGCAGCAGCGATGGTACGGCCAGGTGTGACTACTGATGAGATAGATGCTGTCGTTCACCAAGCTACGATCGACCGTAACGCATATCCGTCACCCTTAAACTATCGTAATTTCCCGAAATCCCTCTGCACGTAAGATTGTCTCAAGCTTGTCTTCTGATTTGTCCTTGATATTGCATCAGCTCCATCAATGAAATTATATGTCATGGCATCCCTGATCGCAGGAAATTGCAAGAAGGTGACATCATCAATCTCGGTGCGTTCCGCTATGCTATCTGTTGGGTATGTTCTAATGTTCTAACAGACATATCACTCTACTACGATGGTAAGTGGAAACAATGTGTTTTTATTTTATCCCATGTTTGAAGGTGAAGGTCAGGATTTCATGCCGACTTGAATGCCACATACCCCGTCGGTGAGATAGACGAAGACTCTAAGAAATTGATTCAAACCACTCGACAATGTCTCGATGAGGCGATTAAGATATGCAAACCGGGTGCATTGTTCCGTGACATCGGCAAAGTTATGTTAGTTTTTCCCTTCGGTACCGTTTAACTCACGCTTACGTTGATCCTAGCGAGCCGATTGCACGTGCTAACGGATGTGCTGTCGTACGGACGTACACAGGTCACGGCATTAATGACTTATTCCACGGGGCGCCTAATATTCCACACTACGCAAAGAACAAAGCAATTGGTACCATGAAACCAGGAATGGTAAGGCAGCTAGCGACGAAATTTTTTTAGCTACTAACTTCATCGAATCTAGTGCTTTACAATAGAGCCGGTAAGCTGCCTCATGCTCACTCTATTTGCTCCCCGGAGCCGAACCTCATGTACGGTTGCAATAAGATGATCAATCTAGGTTCCCATTGGGACACACACCATTGGCCCGACAACTGGACTGCTACCACAGTGGATGGGAAACGTAGCGCTCAATTTGAAGAAACCTTACTGTGAGCGTTACATGAAACCAACTTATCTGAAACATTGCTCATCGATGTTTCAGTATCACAGAGACTGGTGTAGAAGTTTTGACTGCGGGGAGCACGGATTTGTAGTAACAACTTGTCATTATCATTGCTTACATTCAAGGATAGATATACTTACATGTTCTGGTCAGTTTTCTTCCGTCACACTCCGCCCCAAAATATTCCCTTCAGCGGCAAGGCACATCGAAGCATCGAGATCGACTGAATGAAATCGGACATTTATGGATGTGACATGTGTACCCTTATCTTTCCTCGTTTCCCCTTATGCAAAAATATCGTTTCGTCTTTCAATATCCCCGCAATTACATCCGCTGACACTGACCCTTGGTAATAGTGGAAAGGGCGGAGAACACGTTCGTGGTGTGGGTATCTCCTCACATTCCTTACTTTCCCACCTCCACCTACAAGATCTATCACCCTTGTCAATCCACTGAGCGCCTGTCTATATGTCGGACAATGACACTGACACTGAACCCTATCTTTTCGTCGAGAAATGTGGTTCAACCCGAGGGAACCCGATATACGTGATCACAAAGTACATCCCGTCAGTTGGTGTACTCGAATGAAATAATCGTGCGCAAGGGCTGATTGAGATATTCCAGCGCTATGAATGGCTATTCGAGTAGGACGGTGGGCCACACTTTCATTTCTTTCTTTTAGCGACGCCATTGTAATGTGCATTTTTAGAGGGAAATTAGATGTATGGATTTAGGTGGCGAAGCTCTCGGTTCATACAAGGCTCGCCAAGGAGGCTGTACACACATACAGGTGGGTGACGTTGACAGCCGTCGCAAGGTTATCTCAATTTTCCATCATCACATGTCCCAGTTTTTCAACCACGCTGAATACCTCAAGTGCGTCTTTCCATTGCCAACACTGATGAAGCTCAATTTATTTGTTTTTGCTACAGTTGTACTGGGTGCGGCATGGAGTTCTCCAAAGTAATGCTTCGCCAAAACGCCTACATCGAGATCAAAGGCCTCCCTTCCTAATTCCCCCGACGCTCGGTCACCGTTCTCTCATCTGCTATGTTCGCTATCCTCGTTGCTCTGGAACAGATACGTATATGAACAGCTATACCTGGAATAGGCTTCCAATACGCTTTGGCAATCGCAATGTAATACTTCACACATAACATGCAATTTGGACAGTCCTCTACCATAGTCACATTATCGAGAAGTTAAGCACTCGAGGATTATCTGCTTGCTTCTTTGTTCAAGCTCGTCGTCACATCTTCAAATGTCTCTTGCCGATCTGCGGACCCAATACGCTCGACCGGAACGAGGGCAGATAAGCTATGCTTTCGTCGCCGTGAGCCCTGTCGCATATGCAGAGACTGGGAGCCATCAAGAGGGATACCGCTTGAACTCGAAGAAGCGCTTGGCTGAGTAGTAGCGGTCATCCGAAGTCGCTGGAGATCTGCGTATGATCCCTGCCGACTTCGCACCTTGTGTCTCGAAGCATCCTCATATGCGGATATATAGCTGACGGCATGGTCATAATCTCCATGGTCTTCGCCATCTGAGAGGTCAGGTGTCGCCGGTCTGCTGCTGTCCTGAGTTGGTGTGCTTCCTCCCCACGCACTGGATCCACATTTAGCGCTACGGCTCCATCCGAAAAGCCGCTCATCGATCCATGTCTGTGCAGCGGTCATGAGGGTGCGACCATAGAAACCTGTGAATACTCACCATGGGATGAATCAGCAAATTTCCTTGAGCATCAACTTGCCCCACGCTACTCTTTCGCCGCCACATCCCGGGATTACCCGTTGAAGGAGGTGCGCTCGCAGGGACCAGAATACGGAACTGATCAGGTGGTCAACACTAGGCATCAATCAGGTTGCCATGTACTTGCCTGATCGAAATCATCATAAATCTTTGGGCCAAACTCATTTATGACATCGGCAACTTCATTAGATAGTCGAACCCTCATGGCTTTCACTTTGTCGAAGGACCGCTGTTGACCGGGGATCAACGCCACTATCAAGGGCCGCAAAGATCTATACGGAAATCGAACTGCGTCAGTGCATAATTTAGGAGCGGGTCGTCTAAAACCTCACTTCAGTACGTCCATACCAGCCTCGCCAAACTTCAGGGCAGCGTAATTCATGAACGGCAAAGCCAAAATCACCAGAAAGGGAGTCCATATCCTCGTGGCTAGAGAAGCGTTGGCTTTCACGGCGACTATTGTCGCAACTACAGCATAGAAAGCATACATGACTGGAGCGATACCAAGCGAAATGAGAATCTTCCACGTTGCGAGCACATCGCGACCGGCCACTTTGACTACTGATGCAGCCAGTGCCTCTGAAGGGAAATTGGTGGTTTGAGTAATTAATCAGATACATAATAAGTGTAGATGCATACCTTTAGCTTTTTGACGTGAAATAATTGATGCCAAGATAAACATGGGCCCATTAAGTATGACTCCTGGCAAAGCTAACGACGTCCAGATTATCAGGAGCACGAGGCGATAGACAAGTAAGCCAAGCGTTTTCCAGCTCGCCTTCTGTGCTCGTGGGACCTTGTGGAAAACGTGAGTTGGTGCACAAAATGGGGGTCGCCAGTAGACGTACTTGGTGATCACGAATTCCCAGATCACGAATCAAACGATTGTACTTCAAAACGTCTGTCCTAAGTTTCTGTACCCGGGGCTCATCTTTGAAGTGTGTGTAGCCTTTCAAAAAGCGCCTATTCAGTTCGACTACTTGTCCCAATGTGAGATATTGCCCCGGTGTCTTGTATAACCGGCGGACGGCTTGAATAAGCTGCATCGGCTTCAGTTCTTGCTTACTCAAGTAAATGACGCCAGGGACGCACCATAAGTGTGTCATAATCTGGAGCACGAATCGTCACTGTCTTCAGCCCATCATAGATAAGGTCCAAGAACTTCGCCACGGCTTCACGCTTTTTGTTACCACCTTCTTTAAACATCTCAACTAGCTCAGCAGGTACATCGAGAGCAGTTCCGAATTCCACAACAGCACGAGAACGGAAGCGATGGGCATGGAAATATGATAGACCAACAGGTACAATCTTCACTTGCACAGTTGGATCATTGGCCATAGCACCTAACGCCATGATGGAGACACCAGCTTTGAGAGGGAGTAGATCTGTTCTGTCGTGACTTCCACCTAAGGGGTCAACAATGTAACGAAACGCTGCAATGAAATTACTGAGTAGTGGGCTTGCCTTCGGGAAATATGCCAATGCACCCTCCTTCCTTTAATTTCTGATATACACCACGATACATTTCTTGCTGGTTGATGAATGGCAGAACCTTGAACGCTAAACCCTTATTCCCATTTTCTCCACCTGCAGCAATTGCCTCCCGAATGCGAGTTGTTCCTTTGCCACTGTCCCCTCCAAATTCTTTCTTGACGCGCAACTCCGTATCTGAAATGACTTCGACGACCTCGGCAACCGCTGAGTTGACTGACTTTGGAAGCATGATTTGCATTTTCGGGGTAAACTCAGTTTTGAACTTAGTACCTTCCCCGAGGACTAAACAAGGATCATCCGGAGAGAGGTATACTAATCCAGTTCCTGGTTTGGCCTCGTCTGAAGCTCGAGAAACAGGGACTGTACAAAAGTCAGTAAGGAGTGGGAAATATGACGCAATGAACGTACTACTATCCATGAGGCGGGCAAAAAACCCTACTGCCTTCCGTTGCAGACTCTTAGCAGCAGTTAAAAACTGGACATGGCGGTGTGTCTCGCGATAAACCTCTAAGGTGAGAAGGAGAGGGTCAAGGAACTACATAGAGGAACGGTCAGCGGAGTTTGCCAAAGATGAATAATAACAATTCACTTGATTGGAATGAGGAGCGCCGACAAAAATGAGGGGGCCCTTATGAGGAATGTTAAAGGCACCCCGAGGTCGTATCTCTCTGAAGAATATCTGCGTGACAATGCGCCAAAATAACAGCGCAGCTTCATACGTGATTGCTGAAGGCATTAAGAATAGGCTTTATGAAAGTTAGTTAGTGACTAGTTGTGCAATGTATGATGGTATAAAGAGAAAGGCGTAGTCTTGGCGTTCGTCGCGCTTCAGGGGATTAATATTAAGCTGAGTACTAGTGGGGCTCAATTTTTGGGGTGTCACAACATGTGCAAATAGAATCGTCCACGTAGCTATGGCCACTACTATTACTTCAGTTATTCGTCATGAATGATGCATCTGATGACGTGCTCATGATATCGATATTGTGCACATTACATTAAACTCGGATCACACCGTTGCTCACAACGTCGAGCCTCTCACCAGCTCATCTCTGGGAAGATCTGCGGTAACAAGCGAGAGCACATGCACGACCATGTATCATTCACATCACAATCCGGAGAGGGGGATATACGGGCCACCAAATCGCCAGGATCGGATCTGATCCGCTCGCTATCCCAGAACTTCGAAATCATGTCTTGACCTCCCCAATGGCGGAAATTGGCACGTATCATAGTCTGTGGTTTTAATGTCAACGATAAACGGAAGGGGAAGGGTATGAACACGCAAAAGTAGATCCAGCAAAGGTATGTGTACAAGTCACAAGGTCCTACGACGCATATTTTTACCTGTGTTAGCAGAATAGCTCCGCGGATGATGATACATTTTCCGAGGCATGACTCGAAATAAACATACTTGACATTCCACAAAAATTGTGCATCCTGATTAAAAAGGGTCTTTGAAGAGTCGTAAATGATCGAATTGCAGAAACAAAGAAAGAGTGAGATGTTGAAGGAATCCATCGATCAGTCTGGTTCAAGTCAGCTCTCCGATATCCGAGGTCTTGCAGCACTTTGCGAAGATCCATTGCTCGTTGTGCTTGCACGATTATAATGGAATATGCCGTGCAGCTGATGCAACCGATCCTCTCCTGGCGGATCGGATGTATGGTGTGCAGATTGAGGTGACATTTCCCCTCGGCTTGGAGCAGGGGAAGTAGGAATGGGTGATTCGTGGCCATTCGATTCCAATTCTAATGGACATCATAAGCGTGAAACTCGAGACTAAAATGAGGAAACATACTCGACAGTGTACTTGCGACTGCTGCGGTTCGTTCCATATCCTCGGCC